AATACAAATAATTAAATTAAGATGAGGCACCATGATTTAGGTACATTAGATCTGTGTTTTTTTCTATACCCTGTTTTTGTGCGTTGGAAGAGAGGTAGTCTTATACGGGAGTATATCCCAAACTCTATATTTATTCTGGAAAAGTTGGGGGTCGTCTTATACGCCGGAAAGTACGGTAGGTAATTGATAATAATAGATATATCCTTTTAGGAATTGTTCATGTCATATTGACCCCTGTGTTTGTACAATTATAGAGACCGTCCTGGAGTGTTTGTGCTTCCTGATTCTTGGGATTGCGCACCAATCTCTCTCAGGCTGACTTTGCACTACCTATTTTGCAATTATATCTGTTTAGTCAAAATCCATGCAGGCTGAAGAAACGGAGATGACTACTTATGAGGACATAACCTTTGTACGCAAGAACCTGGAAAGTCCTGAAGGTGCAGTGCTGTCTAATGCTGCTGGTTCTGTATTAACCCTTCCAACAATTGAGGTGTTGCACAGAGCATTGTGGTGAACATCCAGCAAACAAAAGAAGAACTACGTGGAAGCGGACATTGTCTTGTTGTCAGCCATATTAGCTATTTTATGGAATAAAATACCTGGTGTCGAACTGATTTCTTTATACTCCTTGAAAGACTTATTCTATTTTTTTCAAACTATTTTGTTATTTTTATTTTTTGTAGAGTTAGCCAGAGAGGGAAGAAGTGTTAGCTGACCCAGGGAGGGATGTAGTATGTGTTGTTGATGTATGTTGAGTGTGCCAAGGATGGATTCCCATGTTTTGAGGAACTGGATGTTGATATGACTGGGTTTGACTGGACCTTTGGAATAGGCAAACAAGAAAAACTTACAGGCACTCCAAATGTGAAGCCGCTGGCAGATTTATTGCAACAAAAGGCACAGCAACGTTTCGACCTGACTAGAGGTCTTTGTCAACGATGCTGTGCATTTTGTTGCAATAAATCTGCCTGCGGCTTCACATTTGGAATGCCTGTGAGTTTTTCTTGTTTGCCTTGTCGTGGTGGGATTGCTGGTCCTGCTCCAGAGCACCCCTGGCCGTTGGGAGTGAATGCGGCTCCTGCGATCTACTTTGGACCTTTGGAATAGGGAAATGGTTAGGAGATATAGGACATAAGGTCCTGGTTGCAATTACTGTAATAATTGTGAGTTAGATGATAATATACAAATGGGCTTTTCCCACCATTATCAAGAAGTGTTTCCCATCTCCTCCCAATACCCAAGCTATGTATTTACAGGTGCAATATTGTTTTCCCAACACTGGATGGAAATTTTCCGTCATGCTTTTCCTTGCATTAAGGACACAACGGAAAATTTCCGTCATTTACAAAACTTAACTCCAGACTGACGCGATCGCAGGGATAACGCTCTTCCGGTCTGCCTCTGCAGCTGTGATCGCTCTGACAGGCTATCAGAGCGAGCACATGTGCTGCAGGGACTCCTGGTGCAGTGAGATGGATCAGTGCTGATCCTCTTAAAGCTGTAAAACATAAATAAAGTCTAAGTTAAACCCCCCTCCTTTACCCATATCTAATAAAAAAAAACCTTCACTGCCATTTGATCACTGACTGCAGTGATCAAAATACAGATCAGGATATTTTACTGTGATCTGATTTATTTATTTTTAACCCCTAAGGGTTAACTTTTTTTTTTTTTTACCCTCAGGGGTTAAATTTAAATATTTTCAAATTATATATTTAGCTAGCTGGGGTGGATGGAATTAGTGGGGAATTTAGTGATTGGCTAGCTAGGGGTTAAATTTAAAAAATAAATTTTAAAAAAAGCTTTAAAAGGTTAAAAAAAAGTTACAAAATCCCACCCTATTTTACCTAGCCCTAATAAAAAAATCTTCCCTGCCAGTTGATCACTGCCTAATTTTTTTTTTAACACCTTAGTGGTTCAATTTATTTCCTTAATTACTTTAAATATTTAAAAATTATATATTTTGCTAGCTGGGGTGGGTGGGAGCTATGGAATATTGGGGAATTTAATGTTAGTGCTGCTTACTGCAAGTTAGGGGGTTAACGGTAAAAAAAAGTATAAAATGATTTTAAAAAGTAAAAAAGAAATGCATAAGTTAAAAAACAAAGTTTAGAAATAAAGTTTTAAAAAAGTTAATTTTTTTTTTTTTAAATGCTCATTACCACTACACCTGGAACAAACTAGCGAAAAAATGATCCCACGCTAAGGTTCAAAATAAGCCCTTTGAATTACCCCCGGGTGTGTTCTTTAATAAATAGTATGTGTTTGTGGAGAGGTTTGAATAACCAACCAACTAAACTACTCCAAAATGGAAAATGGACACTGCGTAAAACTTTAAAAAAAAAAGTTTGAAAAACACTGAATGGCTGCGTCTCAAATGTGCCCCTTCAACATCAACATATACCTGGCAAAGGTACATATGAAGGATTATACAGTCGTAGCACACAAGGTTTGCAAAATATACTGTGCAAACTCACTTTGTGTGTCAAAAAGGCAGACAAAAATGCTTATTATCACTACACTTGGTACAAGCTAGCGAAAACATTATCCAACGCTAAGGTTCCAAATATGCCTTTTGAAATACCTTGGGATGTCTTCTTTAAGAAATGGTATGCCTTTATGGTGTAGTTGGAATATGTAGCCTGCTCAAGTGCTTCAAAGTGGGACACGAACGCAACAAAACCCTACATGAAAATTCACACTTAAAAATCTGAACTTGTCACGTCTCTTTTACAGCAATAGGCCTATGCCATTTTGAAGAAGCCGTGTAAGGTGAAACGCGTTGTGGATATTATATTGTGTATTTTAATATTTTAAAGATTTTTTTGGTCACTTTACTTGTGCCAATCATCTTTTTATACACTTTATATTGTTTGTACTTTTTATTTGGACCTTTTATTTTTGATTATTGTATGTTACTCGGTTTCTCTGGCGCAGCCCTTATTCCCTTTTTTATTCTTGTTGTATCATAAGGGTTTCTGAGGGATTCCATTATAGGGTTGCTGCCCCGTTTTGTTTTTAAGCGCTTACTCTTTTCTCTTGTTTTGTACATAGGAATCAGCATGTTTTTGTTATAGTAAGATATCCATAGCGCAGATTTAGGTAGACTTTACTAAGGGATTAAAGGGACACTATAGTTAGTTTTCACCGATTTTTTGAATGAGTGGAGACTGGGTGAAATTCTTACGGAGAAGGGAAGTGAGTTCCACAGAAGAGGTGCAGCCCTGGAAAAGTCTTGGAGGCGAGCGTTAGAAGTGGGAGTACGGACAGAGAGAATACGTAGATCTTTGGCAGAGCGTAGGGGCCTCGACAGGACATACTTGTGTATTAAGGTGGATAGGTAGGTTGGAGCAGCATTATGTAGGGACTTGTAAGCAAGCACCAGAATTTTAAATTGAGCCCTACATCTAACTGGAAACCAATGCAGGGAGTGACAGAGCGGGGAGGTGTGGGAGGTGCGACCGGACAGGAAAAGAAGCTGTTGATGATCAACAGTGTCAAATGCAGCAGAAATATCAAGGAGAATTAGGATAGAGTAATGGCTGCGAGATTTAGCAGCAATTGAATCGTTGGATACTTTGGTCACAGCCGTTTCGACAGAATAACCAGAGCAGAATCCAGACTGAAGGGGGTCAAGCAGAGAGTTGGTTTCAAGAAAGTCAGTCAGTCTGGTGTACACAACTCTTTCGAGGATCTTGGAGGCAAATGGCAGTAGCGAGATAAGGATGGGCTTTTTTAGAATTGGGGTTACAGTTACATGTTTGAAGGGTGATTGGAATGTGCCAGAGGAAAGGGAGAGATTAAAAATTTTAGTGAGGGGAAGAGTAAGAGAGGGAGACATAGTGCAGATGAGATATGAAGGAATATGATCGAGGGAACAGGTGGTGGGGCGGGAGGCCTGGAGCAGAGCAGAAACCTCTTCTGCTGCAACAGGTGCGAATGAGTGTAGAATGGTGGAGGGAGTGGGGTTGGGTGAAGTAATTGTAGGGGAAGGAGATGAATTAGCGATCTCCTCTTTAATTGTAGAGATCTTCTCAGTGACTTGAGATGCAATGTTTGTGGCGGACAAGGTGGAAGAAGGAGGGGGATTAAAAGGGTGATGAAGAGCATAAAAAGTGTGAAATAGGTGTTTGGGTTGATGGGACAGTGTACTTATGAGGGTGTTAAAGTTATTGACTTTTGCAGCGGAATAGTGGAGGAAGTCAGATGCAAAGTGAGACTTTCTCCACAAGCGTTCAGCAGTTCTAGAACATTTTTGGAGATAACGGGTCAGCTTGGTGTGCCAGAGTTGTAATTAGGGGCGCTTGCTGTGTTTAACTGTAGGAGGTGCCATGATGTCGAGTTGAGGATAGAAATGAGTTGTAGAGTGAGGTAGCAGAGTTAGGGCAGGTTAGATTTGAGATGGGTAAAAGGAGAGTATTGAGTTTGGTGGAGACATATACTCACATCTTACGGATTAACCTTGTTCAAAATGCTATAATACCCCAAAATGAGACATAGGCCCATCATACGAAAGTTCGAACTATAGAAACTGAAATAGCCTGGTCTATTATATAGCATTGTAACTTTACAGAATATACTCAGCAGATGTAGCTGAACACAATATGGGGTTCTATGAAGGAATAGCACACTCCAGCTTTACGAAATACACATTACAAAAACCTTGTTAAATGTTAATATGCCAAAAAAGAGAAATTACACAATTTTACTCCAATATTTAGCAGAGATTGGCAATGAAATGGCTAAGTAAGATGTGTCAAACTAACCTTAGGTAAATAAGAGAAACAACCGAACGAGAAAAGGGAATGGCAATTCGTATGCAGCAAACAACCGAAAGAGAAAAGTGAATGGGGACAGATTACACTGCATTGAAAAGGCAGACACTGAAAGAACTGCTGGAAGCCAGAGGAAAGATAGCCAGCAACAAGCCGAAAGCAGTGCTGATCGCCGAACTGATGGAGGGAGACAGAGCTCACAACAGCACACCCCCACCAGCCATGGAGGAAACCCCATACGAAAGGGAGATGCGAACCCGGATGGAGTTTCTGCCACAGCCAGTACCCCTAGAAAAATTGACCGTACTGATGGCAGATGTGCAGGAGTACGTGATGGCACACCGTCCACAGGAGACACCGTCCAGGGCACAATCCATCACTGCCTACATCTACGGCCAGGTAAAACCCCAAATCCCATGTAATGAGCCCGGCAGTCCTGGTCTGTATTATGGCAATGTAAGTTGCCATAATACAGACACTGACTCGAGTATAAGTCGAGTGGGGGTTTTTCAGCACAAATAATGTGCTGAAAAACTAGTCTTATACTTGAGTATATATGGTAAGTCCCATTCGAATGCACAATCAGGCCGTTCATGCAAATGGCTCAGTATATCAGTGAGTTCAAACTGCCGAACGGGTCTCTGTACCTGAAAACTGAGTGGAGGAGAAGGTAAGGGTCAGCGGTGTTCGTTAAAATGTGTAGCCAATTGTGGCGAAACCGGCCTCGCCACGTGTCCTTGGAGAGGGCTGCTTGCCTGCCTCTTGCCTTTGGACTATGGACCAGACTTTATGTGAATGTGTTAACCCAGATAGCTATGCCATGGAGCCCATTCGTGTAGTTAAAGACTTCAGCTCCATGGCAATTGAACTGTGTGAATAGGATCTGAGCGCTCTTCGGTAGTTTTGTGCGCTCAGACCCCAGCTATCTGGGGATATGTGAAATGTCTGTGGGTTATGTGTAAAAGGTGACTTTATGTATTTTAAAGTGTTTTATGTCTTTTTGCAACCAGGTGCTCAATGGAGTCTGCTTCTATCCCTGGATAATTGGATTACTTTCCCCCATTGTCCAGGATAGAGGGCTCTGTAAAACCTGTTTGAGCCAGATAGCCATGTGCCAGCCAGGGCCCAAAAGATACTTTTACTCACTTTTGAACCCCTGGTCGGATTCATGCCATTTTTTAATATGTTGTTCCCCTGAATGGATTGATTGTGAATATGTCATTTTATGTGAATGTGATGTATGGTTTTAAAGTTATGAAAGTTGGGTAGTAAGTATGTTTTAACTGTATGTGTAATTGATTTTCCTCTCAGGATAAGGGGAGGGAATATGTGGGATGTAACTGATATGTGATTGGTTGTTTTATACCTCTCTGTGGGCGGTCCTGTATGTGAAAGACTGTAATAAAAACCAGGCTGGGTGTGCCAGCACAAGAGTTCCTGTTTTAACCCTCAAAGTGAAGTGTCGTCTCATTATTGGGGGAAGAATTTATTGTATGCTGTTCCAGTTTGACTGCTAGGAGAGTAAACCTATTCGTATGGTTCCTATTCAACTGTCTACAGCATTCATATGCTTGAGAGAAGGTATACGCTTCTCCGGTTCGGTGATTGTGGTGTCTGCCAGAGTGCTTGGAGTCCTCAGGAAACGCTAGGAGCATCCTTTAAAGGAGGTACCCAGTCGGGGTGCCAGGTGATCCGTTACAATGCCTTCAAAATGTTTTGCGAGGAGAAGGATGAGATTGATGGGTATTTGCAAGATTTCAAAAGGCTATGTGACCTACATGACTTAGAACAGGCAGTATGGGTGCCGTTGCTGGCAGGTAAACTGGGCGGTCGGGCAGCAGAAGCCTATCGCGCTGTCCCCAGGGAGGACAGCAAAGACTATGCAAAGGTGAACAGAGCCATACTCGAAAGATACGCCATTACTCCGGAGGCATACAGGCGCAAGTTCAGAGGATTGCGCAAACCGGAGAAGAATTCTCATGCCGAATGGGCGCACAAGCTGGATCAAGCATCTCAGGGGTGTATACAGGCGAGTCAAGCCACCACCATGGAGGAGTTGCGACAATTACTGTTGTTGGAGCAATTTATTAAATATCCACCAACTCCAATATTGAATATTTATCTCTACCTACATTTATTGATCCTCTCTATATAGAGGAACTATCCACCAACTCCAATATTGAATATTTATCTCTACCTACATTTATTGACCCTCTCTATATAGAGGAACTATCCACCAACTCCAATATTGAATATCTATCTCTAACTACATTTATTGACCCTCTCTATATAGAGGAACTATCCACCAACTCCAATATTGAATATCTATCTCTACCTACATTTATTGACCCTCTCTATATAGAGGAACTATCCACCAACTCCAATATTGAATATTTATCTCTACCTACATTTATTGATCCTCTCTATATAGAGGAACTATCCACCAACTCCAATATTGAATATCTATCTCTACCTACATTTATTGATCCTCTCTATATAGAGGAACTATCCACCAACTCCAATATTGAATATCTATCTCTACCTACATTTATTGACCCTCTCTATATAGAGGAACTATCCACCAACTCCAATATTGAATATCTATCTCTACCTACATTTATTGATCCTCTCTATATAGAGGAACTATCCACCAACTCCAATATTGAATATCTATCTCTACCTCCATTTATTGATCCTCTCTATATAGAGGAACTATCCACCAACTCCAATATTGAATATCTATCTCTACCTACATTTATTGATCCTCTCTATATAGAGGAACTATCCACCAACTCCAATATTGAATATCTATCTCTACCTCCATTTACTGACCCTCTCTATATAGAGGAACTATCCACCAACTCCAATATTGAATATCTATCTCTACCTACATTTACTGATCCTCTCTATATAGAGGAACTATCCACCAACTCCAATATTGAATATCTATCTCTACCTACATTTACTGATCCTCTCTATATAGAGGAACTATCCACCAACTCCAATATTGAATATCTATCTCTACCTCCATTTACTGATCCTCTCTATATAGAGGAACTATCCACCAACTCCAATATTGAATATCTATCTCTACCTACATTTACTGACCCTCTCTATATAGAGGAACTATCCACCAACTCCAATATTGAATATCTATCTCTACCTACATTTATTGACCCTCTCTATATAGAGGAACTATCCACCAACTCCAATCTTGAATATCTATCTCTACCTCCATTTACTGATCCTCTCTATATAGAGGAAGTATCCACCAACTCCAATCTTGAATATCTATCTCTACCTCCATTTACTGATCCTCTCTATATAGAGGAACTATCCACCAACTCCAATCTTGAATATCTATCTCTACCTCCATTTACTGATCCTCTCTATATAGAGGAACTATCCACCAACTCCAATATTGAATATCTATCTCGACCTCCATTTACTGATCCTCTCTATATAGAGGAACTATCCACCAACTCCAATATTGAATATCTATCTCGACCTCCATTTACTGATCCTCTCTATATAGAGGAACTATCCACCAACTCCAATATCGAATATCTATCTCTACCTACATTTATTGTAGGTAGAGATAGATACTATATAGAGGAACTATCCACCAACTCCAATATTGAATTTGCAAAATTAGATTTAGTCCATTAAGCCTCGCATATCTGCATTTATGCTAGAGGGACAAATTACACATACTGGTACATTCTAATAACATATGTTCTAAACACATGCAGCACATAATTTTACTGTTATCCCCCCCTACCTCTGCCACTGGAAGGCTTAGCCAAGTATCTACTACTCTTTGTATATCACTCCTAGCCTCTACCATTTATACTAGAAGGTTGTGCTATTGAAACTGTAGTATATACCCAGTTTGACCAGTCTGTGGAAATGTACTGGGAGTTAAAAGAAATCAGAGACAACAAGCAGAGTTGCATGCAGACCTGATTAACTCAAACTATAAAATTAACCCCTTAAGGACCAAACTTCTGGAATAAAAGGGAATCATGGCATGTCACACATGTCATGTGTCCTTAATGGGTTAAACAAGGGAGGGATAAGAATGGGTGGGGAATACTAGCCTCCTGTCATTAATAACATTAAGATTAAAGGTACACTAATGCTAGCATAATCTTCAATTTTATAACATGACTAGAGGCTTCGTATTTGCGGTTTTAACGCTCAGCCAACAAATCCAACACTGCTTGTTTCACTGGTACCTACTCCGTGAGATATTAGACCTTCCAACCTTCCATAATGGAAGGACCTTCCATAATGGACCTTCCAACTGTGAGAAGTGACCGTAGACTGATCGATGAAGATGCCAGCTGACAAAGCATCCCAAATACAGAAAAAACACAATCCCCTGTTAGATCCATTGTACGTGGGGTTGTGACCTGTTTCCTAGGAGCTGGTCCATGAGCTGCCAAGCTGACCTATTAGCCATTTTCTTG